TTCAAGACACATTCAATGACGGTTCCTTTGACCACGATTACCAAGTATCCTTTTTGTAAGACGAAAACCTTTCCGGTACGTTCAATATCAATTTGCAGAGGATCAAGCGCTGATTTTGAACCACTACTCAGTGATATCTGCTATGCGCCTTAGGACGCCGAGTTATGAGTAACTTGGAGCGAAAAATGAATTTATGGTCCAGCTAAAATAATTACGGCCATTTCGGTGCACAAATAAAATAGTGGTGAGAGCGTTGCTTGTCAAAAATGTCCATTGTTACATGGCGGCGGGTTACGGCACTTTCTAATGCTATTTCACTCTTTTCAGAGTTTCTGTGCTGAAATTTTGTGCTTTTCGTCACTTCTGGTTGTTTCGTGCGTAATTGATGTAGTCGTGAACTTTTCACTTACTGTAATCGCAAGCTAACGTGATCTTGGCATCTTGTACATCATGCCCATGATAAGCACATTGTTGCCCTACGGTGATATGAACTTTTTCCTGACTTCCCAGTAATCCTTTGAATTCGCTTATAGAAGCTGAGAATCATCAAGATTTGGTATCGGTTTTCTAGATCTTCAGCAGAAAGATGTTTGAGCTCTTGCGCTTGTTAATTGGCCCAAGAGATGCGTATTCTCGGATTTTCAGAAGACGAGGGTGACTCAGCTGGAAGTGGAGCATCAGATCTCATTGGCGATAATTTGGAGGAGCAGCTCGATGTTGACATCGAAGCTTTCCCAATGGAAGCTGGCGATAAAGACGGAATAGTCAATATGTTGACTCAAGTAAGGTTCTTTCCTGTTTCCGGCGCTAGCAGTTCACTTGTTTTCCGATTTTGTAAAGATTGGTTACAATTCTGAAGGTATTTCTTCAAGCTGATATCGATCTCCCAGCTCTAGCAGATGCAATCATTGTTCAAAGCCCGTTTGGAATCGTCATTGGTGTGAGTCTTCCGGCAGTTACTAGTAGTTTCTTCTTTTACAAATTCAATACAATTTTACTATTCCACATTATGATAGTGTATCGCAAGTTAAAAGGCAGCGTTCGGACATCTGGACATAGGGGATGTCAGGAGGAAGTAATTTTTGAGCCCTAGCCTGAGACACTGTCCAAGCGGCAGCTTAGATGTGTCTCCACGGCTGAGATATCTGCCTCAAACTGGACCTCAGAATCGTACTGATGGACGACTTGGCTCGTGTTTGTATGGTTTCGTACCACGACCCATCAAATTCGTGTGGACCCTCGCGAAAGAGTACAAGCACGAGCGAGTCGTCGTTGTTACGATTCTGGGGTCCAGTTTGGAGGCAAATATCCCAGTCGCGAGTGAATTA